ACACCTTCACTGGAGCTGGTGGGGCCAGGAGCCCTAGCCGTGGCCCCACACACCAGGACTATGAAGGATGGCTCAGCTCCTGCTGTGGGGAGGGTCCCACTGGGGTTCCCAAGGTGCAGGGACACCTCAGGGCACATGGACAAGCTGGGGCACGCAAGGACGCCAGGGCACATGGAGCCCCCAAGTCACACAGTCCCTAGGGTCCAGGGACACCCTGGGGCACACAAGGCACCTCAGCACCCCAAGGTGTGTGGACCTCCATGGCATGCAGGCTCCCCCAAGGTACAGAGCCCTGGGGGGTATAGATCCTGTAGGACATGTGGGACCCCACGGCACACGGTGACCTGTGGTTGGGCTCCCCGGGACCATGCTGAGGTTCTGACAGACCCACCCCCTGCAGTGGCTTCCTTGGGTGCCACTGTCATGTGGGTGCCCACCCTCCTCAGGAGGAGGAGCCGCCAGAACTTGCTTTAAAGTGGGACAGAGAAAGGGCCTTTTCTTCCCTATGTCCCTCGGCCGGCGGGCACGCGGCTGCGGGGTTGCTGGGCAGGACTGGCCGAGGGGACGGCCGTGACACCGGGAGTCCCAGCTGGCTTGTGGTGGTGGGACCCCTTCCCAAATTCCTCTGCGTCCTCTCAGCCCCACTGCTGGGTCCTGTGGGAGAGCTGGCAGGGCAACCCAGGGGCTCAGGGGGTCTGTGGGTGCCCCGGGGACTTGTCCTTCAGCCGGGGGGGCCCTGGGGCTGAGGCGGGGGCCATGTCGATGCTGGCCCCCCTGCGGCTGCTGCGTGAGCCCTGGAATGCCAGCGAGGGCAACCAGAGCAACGCCACGGCCGGGGCCGGCGGAGCCTGGTGCCAGGGACTCAACATCCCCAACGAGCTGTTCCTCACGCTGGGGCTGGTGAGCCTGGTGGAGAACTTGCTGGTGGTGGCTGCCATCCTGAAGAACAGGAACTTGCACTCGCCCATGTACTACTTCATCTGCTGCCTGGCCGTCTCTGACATGCTGGTGAGCATCAGCAACCTGGCGGAGACCCTCTTCCTGCTGCTGCTGCAGCACGGCGTGCTGGTGGTCCGCCCCACCATCGTCCGCCACATGGACAATGTCATCGACATGCTCATCTGCAGCTCCATCGTGTCCTCCCTCTCCTTCCTGGGGGTCATCGCCGTGGACCGCTACATCACCATCTTCTACGCTTTGCGCTACCACAGCATCATGACCCTGCAGAGGGCTGTGGTGACCATGGCCAGCGTCTGGTTGGCCAGCACCGTCTCCAGCACCGTCTTCATCACCTACTACCGCAACAACGCCATCCTCCTCTGCCTCATCGGCTTCTTCCTCTTCATGCTGGTCCTCATGCTGGTGCTCTACATCCACATGTTCGCCCTGGCCCGCCACCACCTCCGCAGCATCTCCAGCCAGCAGAAGCAACCCACCGTCTACCGCAGCAGCAGCCTGAAAGGAGCCGTCACCCTCACCATCCTCCTGGGTGTCTTCTTCATCTGCTGGGGGCCTTTCTTCTTCCACCTCATCCTCATTGTTACCTGCCCTACCAACCCCTTCTGCACCTGCTTCTTCAGCTACTTCAACCTCTTCCTCATCCTCATCATCTGCAACTCGGTGGTTGACCCCCTCATTTATGCCTTCCGGAGCCGGGAGCTCTGGCGGACACTGCGGGAGTTGGTGCTGTGCTCCTGGTAGGCAGCGGGACGG